GCGTACATTTTTCTGTGATATTAAGCGCAAACAAAATTCATTAGAATCACTCTGCTGAATCATCTGAATCTATACATCTAGTGGGATAATAATGTGACCAGTTTAAAATTAATGAATTTGACACGCATACATGATATAATTTTGCCAGACTTTATCGCTCTATGATTTCATAATCATTATAAAAATTGATAATTGTATAAAAATTCATTTCATAATTATATAAAAATTGCAAAATTATAACTGATAATGTTGACTTCAGTTAATTCATTTCTTTGCAAATTAAGTTAACTACCAAAGACCAATTTGTTCTGTGTTACATCTCTATATCAAAGTATTGAGAAACCATGATTTTGCAAATGAAACCAATCCAGTTTCAAGAATCAAATTTATATCAAAAGTATTCTGAAAAAATGCAACATTTTCTCGTTTGTATAGCAATCGAGACAACTATTAAAAAATTGAAAGAAACGAAACAGACAATTACCATGACGAGATCAAGAGAGGGAAAGGATTCAACTGCAGAAAAATAAATGAAAAATGCAGCATAAGGAATTGGAAAAGTGGTTCTGGAATCACAGAACTTATTTCTGTTTTATTATTCCAGTTAGTAGAAATTAGTTTGATGAAATTCATTGAATTTTGGAATGCAATCAAATTCTATTTTAAAAAATCGATTTCAAACAAACCTGATAATCATAAGCATTAGTTGGACAATACCCATCGTACATTGGAGCATTGACATAGGATGGAATGTCATTGAGATGATACTGAAAAAAATTCTTTAAGAAAATCAATGAAATTGATCTTAGGACAGAAAAACGGATAATAAATTTCGAAAAATTATTCTTACATTATTGAAACCAAATATTCCTTCTTCAATTTTTTGGGATAAATTAGGAGATATGGATTTGCATGTCTTGGAAAAACCGCAGTCAAAATAACATGTACTAAATTAGCAGTTTTAAAAGTTATTTTAAAACATAGATTCAGCTTAAACTATCCGACATCACTTAACTTTGGACGGAATTTTACAAAAGTCATCAGAAGATTTAAAACTTATCGAAGATAAGTGGAGACAACATACCGAATAGGTAGGATGAAAAGGTGGCGCATTCGGATTAAGCTGGAAAGTACTATTATGATGAGAATTCATCGATGTCTGCTGATGATACGGAATTTGCGAATTCGACGACCCATACATATCTGAAACATTAGAAAAAAACTTTAAAAACATTAGGAAAAAATCCTCCATTTCCGTTTTTTGTTCTCTTCAATGAAGTGAAGACTATGAATAAATTTTTCAATCTACCACAATTTACTTATGTTAATGAAATAGTCTACAAATCTAGACTCATAACATATGAAGTTTCAAGCAAACGAGAAAACTGAGAAACAGATAAAAAGATATAACCCGTTGGCAGTAATTTTGAAATGATCAGATACTAAATGAAAGTTGATATTCAGAACAAACAATTTAGAATAGTTGGACTTAAAATCATAATAATATCAGATCTCTTAAATTACAGTATGTTATAATTATTTTGTAGTTAATGAATGCATTTCTGAATGTATTTTGCAAAATCACACATTGTAAACAGAAAATTGACTTATCCATGCAAACAATCATGGTCATTTCCGTGTTCTTTTATGAAATGATCAGCAAGTTTCCTCGTTTACCTATTCCTCAATTATTTTGTTGATCTCACGGTATATCAACGTATTATGCAATTCTTCTATATAAATCTATTGCTTTATAATGCACCATTTAACAGACATCTGACTCTAACTTTCTTGGAATCATTAATTTTAACCTTTTTTGAAACTGCCATTTAAATCTCTCTTACATGTAGCATATTCACATTCAAAGCGCTATGTCACACGAATTGATAGAATGGTGCACTGAATGGAACATACCGGAAGAGATCGAGTTCATTAAAGGATTGCTGTACGGAGGACGAGTATTTTGTTGTTGTTGAGATGCTGGGTTTGACGGTGGAATATTATGTTTATGTGATGATTGGGGAGTTGTGTTGTTGGTTGCCGTCCGGTTATATGATGAATGAGAATAATCGCTCATTTTCTTTGCAATTCGTGATCTTTTCTGGAAATGCGTAAAATTTTCGGTGATAAGTAGCACATATCACGAGCAATAGAGAACGAAAAAAGATGAGGGACGCAAATTATTTGAATTTTTGTGATTAAAAATAAAAAACTCATGTTTCAATGAGCTAATCATTCTATTACCGAACATAACAAGTCATGAACGAACAAGTACCAATAATGGAATTTTAAGAAATCAAAACTTAAAAAATATAATGGAATTAATTCAAAAACCATAGAACCTAACTAACTAACTCGAGATAAACAAGTCTACAAATCCAAGCCCGGAATAGTCTGAAAATCACAACTCTCACGCAGCCAAATACATATGACAATGCTATTTCTCAGTTATAGCATAAAACTCACGAATTTACCCTCAGGATCTAAGATTAGGATAAAGCAAGCTAAGAGAAGTATGAAATGTATACAAACGTTCACTGAAGTAAACACTGTTCCGCAGCAGTTCAAAATATGGTAAATGAGAGAAAGAAACAGGAAGGTAAGAAAGAACGACAGAGAAGACAAACAGCATGCAATGATTTAGTATCGATTCCCTTCAACATCAAGCAACATTTTAGGTAGATAACTACTGCTTCCTATAGATAAAAATCATACCAAAATCATAGCAAAAACATCATACAGGGAGAAAAAATTTCTTAGGTCAACCAAAACGAATAATATTTCACAAACTTGCTAAATTAACTGCTAAAATTTTAATCCCTCAAACAAAATATAAATTTTTTCCAGAAAATTAGAAAGTTTTCGGAGAAAAATCAAATTTAGCAAAAATTTAAATACCTGAAATAAACCATAGGTACGGAGATTTTTTTTATTTGGATTAATTTCTAATAATATAAATCAGTCAAATCACGAAACAATCAATACTTTCTATGCTGCAAAATGGGAAGGAAGTGAAAGAACTGTATAACATTAGGAACTTTTGGTAGTGAAATTTAAAAATCTTCCAAATTAATAAATTATGAAAATGATTTTTTGGGAACAATCGAAGAAGAAGTGAAAGAAAAAAGAAGAAGACTCTAAAAATCCCCGAAAGGCAACTGACCTCACAAAATCTAACAAACAATTTGGGGTCAAAATGACGATAGGTGCCAACCGCAGACTACAAACAATATCCACATCAGCTGAATAATTCTTGACCTTTCTTAAAAAGTGGTATTTGACGACTCGGCCAATGCAGAATTATTGGTGTTACGCGTCGCCAACGTTGCACAGATTGATTGCTAAGCGCCGATCGGAGACATACCTCAAGGATTTCATCATCTTCTCGTAAAGTTCGTTGGGACTTCACTCACGTAAAGCTAAACGGATTAGTTCATGCAGCTACGCGTAAACTAGGCTAATCAAAAGTTGAAATTTCAAGTACAGATATGAATTAGACAAAATTAAGAGTTTAAGAATAGTGAAAGTTTATTAATGAAATCCAAATTTCAGATATATAGTCTGTAAAATTAAAATTTTAAACAAAAAAACTTAGAAAGTGAATAATTAAAGTAGTGGATGTGCAGTATTTTGTTCGATAAGAGACCATACAGATGGATTAGAATAATATTGACGCTATGTGTAGTGTGTTTTGTGGAAATGAAATGATAAGGACTATTGTTGCTTGCATTGAAAGTTGTTTTCAGTAATATTTCAAAAATGGAAAGTTCTGATATTGGATCGGCACAAATTCTACATGAGGAGATCAAAGCTTTGGCCAATGAGATACAGAGCCTGAAGGACGTGAAGGAGAATGAAGATTTGGTATTAATTAAGTAATATACTTTTCCCATGAATCATGATATTTGCATTCTGAGAGTATAAGTCATAGTAATTTGAATTTGAATTAACTCGAATGTTTCTAATAGGGAATTTTATTCTAGAAGGCCTGATAACATAATGAAAAAATGAAATGGGAAAATTGAAATTTCTAAATTGCAGACTGTAACGGACTATATCTTAATAATAACTTCCCAAAACATATACTTCTCATTATTTTTGCGAAGATATTTACTCTTTTAATTAGATATATTCCTCGTTATTTTTTTGAGAACATATACAATTAATCTATAAATTTTTGTCCACGAGTATAAATCACGAAATGAAAACATCTTCGTTAGATATTATAGAAATTTATAGATTTTTAAAGTTGAATGCTAATGTTGATTGTAGATTTAATTCTAATTAATGACTTCTCTGATTCTGAAATTATCTTATAGTTCTTAATTTGTGATAAATTGGTCTGTTTATTACCGAAAATTAAATGGCTGGGTTTCCTAGTTATCGCAGAGAAAGAGGAAAATGTCAGATATTTCTGTAATTCTTGAAGATAGCGTCATTTATACCTTGGTGTTTTTACTTTTAATGAAAATTATTTTAAAAAATTTCGATGATTTTGTAATGTTTTTACATTTGGAAATAAATTTTCATTTTTATGGATTTGTTGCCGGAATGATGTTCAGTGACGGGTTATTGATATTAATTCGGTAATGAGTTATCGATATTAATTTAAGTTAAATTCATTATAGGCTATGTTCGAACCGAAATAGTAATGATATTTCCCAGATTTATTTTGCAAAAAAATTAACGAAGAATTCGCGGATTTTCTAGTCTTTTGATGTGAGGAAACTGATGCGAAAATACAGTAATTGTGAAGTAGTTCACAATTATTATTGATGTTACCTATTGCGGGACGTTGGTTTGCAATTCGTTCAAATTTTATTAAATTTTTTGCTATTCGAAGAAACGGAATTACTACTGAGGTAATGAGACTGAATATCAATTCGGCAACAATTCTAACTTCTTTAAAACTTTTAATTCTGTCAAATTTGCTTTTTCTGATAACAAGAGGTATTGATAAGGATTATCAACATTTATAAATCTTGGCATTCTAAACTACCAAAAGTTATCGCATGAGTTTTAACTACAAATTGCTTTTCATAATTTAGAAGATTCTGTATCTTATATAAAATATCCATTTGTTATGCAATGAGGTTTTTGTTGTCAACAATTGTTGTAATTTTTTTAGACTACTGAGATAGAAGTTTAATTTTAGGATTTTATAAGTTTGTTTTAATTATCAGTTAGTTTTAAATCTTTCAACCGTCAAAGAAATTCTTTCCAGTTGATGAAATTGTTTTTTTACTAGACTTCTTTACAGATTAAAGAAAACATCCGAATGATTGAGAAAAAACCTTTAGCGAGCCATGAATCTCAAAGAAAGTTTGAAATACGATGTCCAAGAGGTATATCTCTAGGTTTCCATTTTTCAGCATTAAGGAATTTTCGTCAAGCTAGTTTTACTTTTTTGTTCGCTTATTTCAAGCACATGATTACGGACGTGATTGCATTTTTTCAGGTACACGTGACTATGGACCTCAAGATATGGCATTACGAAAACAAGTGTTAGATGTAATTACGGAATGCTTTAAACGCCATGGTGCCGTTACCATTGATACACCGGTATTCGAGTTACGCGATATATTGCTAGGAAAATATGGTGAAGAAGGTGGAAAACTGATTTATGATTTGTCCGATCAAGGTGGTGAGCTTCTCAGTCTGCGTTACGATCTCACGGTATTTGTTGTTGAGAGAATATCGTTTTTGATATTGATCACAGTTTTAAAATGAATAATATGTTTTGAGATGTCATCATTCTGTCATAACATAATAACTTTTTCTATGTTTTAGAGTATATAAAGTCTTATTTATTGTTATTATTTGTAGTTGACAGATTTCTTTAAATTTGATAGTTCCTTCGCAGTTACCCTTTTGGATCCTAGAAGTTCTGTGGAAGAGTTTGGTTTGATTCGATGATTGCTCTACCCATTTAAATATTATGTTTAGCAAATTCTGCCCCAGTAATAATAATAAGTGTTTTTAAAATGGCAACTCGTCATAATAATTTTATACCCTTTACGCCCAAGTTATAATGTTTCAGGTACCCTTTGCTCGTTATCTTGCTATGAATAAAACTGTGATGTATCTAAAACGGTATCATATTGGAAAGGTTTATAGAAGAGACAACCCCTCCAGAGGACGTTTTCGAGAATTTTACCAATGCGTAAGTTTTTCATTCTCTAACTAAATTGAAGTTTGAGGATTAATAGCGTTAAATAAAGAACTTGCTGATTTTGACCATGAAATTGAGAAAATAGTTTCTTTGTTCTTGAGTGTTCTCATACGTTATTTCATGAAATACAGAATTTTGAGGTGAATATACTGAAAGAACATTTTTAGTCTGCGTGATTTTGCTTTTTAGTATTGCTGTTCATCTGTCTCAGAATTATTAATGGAGTTTTTTCTTCAGGATTTTGATATTGCTGGTTCATACGACTTGATGATTCCGGAAGCTGAATTATTAAGAATTATTAATGAGATACTGAGTGCACTAAATGTTGGTACATTTGAAATCAAAGTAAGTTTACTGAAGTCCTGAGTATAATCGCTGTGAATTATTAGTCCTTATTATATCTCTGAAATGTGCCATGCATGATTTTTTTATTTATTCTTGTATTTAATTGAACTGTGTTTTAAATTGCAGAATGTCAATTCCTTTTTTCTTTTGGTAGATTATTCTACCACTATGCTACTAGCATTCAAGACATAATTTTTTCAATTTACCATTGTATTTTTAGAACTTCTTTTTAGGTAAACCATAAACTACTACTTGATGGCATGTTTGCTGTTTGTGGTGTACCAGAAAAGCACTTCAAAGCGGTGTGTTCCTCGATCGATAAGTTAGACAAGCTTCCGTGGGAAGATATTAGAAATGAATTATGCAGTGAGAAGTATATCCATAATGACGTTGTCAACAAATTGGAGACATTTGTACGTTTACGGGGTTTGTTGTTTTATCTTTACAAATTTCTTAAATTGTTTTTATTAAGCGTAGGGAAGTAGAAAGTTTGAAAGGTATTTGAAAAATATTGATGTTTGTGATTTCATGGAGTTTAGATTAAACAAACTATGTCAACAGATAGGATTTCATCTCCTGTGTAAAATAAGTGCTGTGTAAATGTGTCTGTCAGTTACCAATTCCTGATCAGTATTCATACATTCTTAAATTATGTCTCCATTATCAGTTTTAGATCGCAAATTCTAACTCTTCTTTGGTTTCTCATTTAAAGTAATGCAATTCCCATCTGTTTTCTTCAGAACATGATAGTAGCTTAACAAATTTGGATTTATTAAACTGGTTCGAGAAAGATGAAGCGACATCGAAAAATAATGATATACAAAAAGCGGTATCTGAAATGAAGCAACTTTTGGAATACTGTGAAATTTTTGGTATTCTTTCGAATGTTACCATTGAGCCGTCATTGGCACGAGGTCTCGATTATTACACGGGAGCAATTTTTGAAGTTATTTTGAAGGGTTAGCTTTTTCAATTATACTTTATTTTTTAATACAGCACTAATTAATTAATTAATTAATTAATTGAATCTGCAGGTTAATATTATGCAATTTTATATCCAAAATTCTTTTATTGCAAAGTTTTTTTTTGAAAACAATTGTTAGTAAAAGGTTGATATAAAAATAATATTAAATATAGGCTGTGAAGTGAGTCTTAATTGCATGTGAATTTTAGATTCTACCGAAAAAACACTCATGCAAAATGGTAATGCCGAAGAAGAGACCCGAGGCATCAATATAGGTTCAGTTGCTGGTGGTGGTCGTTACGACAATTTAGTATCAATGTTTTTATCGAAACATAAAGTACCTTGTGTAGGAATATCGATTGGGATTGAAAGACTTTTTACGATTATGAAGGAAAAATCAAAAGTAAGTAGTCT